ATTTATCACTTTCACGGGTTTATTACGAATCAACTTAACGGCCTGCTCCCAGTTGGCTTGTTAGCTCAATTGGTAGAGCGCTGCATTAGTATCGCAGAGGTCAGTGGTTCGAATCCCGTACGGGCCTGATTTTTTTCAGGTCTGATTTTCGCTATTGCATAGATAGCGCTATCTACTGCGAGGATCGTGCATCATACGTATCTAATACCGTAGTTTAAAATATATGAACTTCATATATTCATTGTATCTGAGTGGCTTTAGTATTTGCTTGGTCGTTACAAAGTTTTTTTTTTTATTGTGTTTAAAAAAGGGTTCTCAACGTAGACTTTTGCATTTAACTCCATACCGTATTCCATATTTCTAAATTAAAGGAAGTTGAGAAAACCTGCCATGTCATTCTTACTACGTTCGGTGTAATTGTTATTTTCACACACACACGCACACATAAAAAAAGAAAACAGTTCGTCCATATCCGGCAGAACTACATTCTTCTGGAAGAAATATTTCAATTACCGAAACGAAAAGAAACATAACGTTTTTCTTTTCACCGATCAATTCTTACAGCTCTCATTAAGTATAAACTATTTTTTTTTGGCCTACGGTTGAATGCCGTGTTCACACCGATGATATTTGTGAGGCCACTTTCATAATATCACAAATTACTCTTCTGACGTAAAAAACTTTTCTTGTTATGGCAGCAATATCGACGGTTTGAAGTACAGTTTAAATGATCGTGGGCTGAAAGGAGCTTCTCACTCGACGAAGTTCCGCTGGGTGGAAAAAACGCTAATCGAGCGCAAGTGAAATTAGGTGAAAATGAGTGTACGCTTCGGATATTTCCTACTGGCGTTTCTCGGCCTCTTCTCTGTTGTTAGCTCGGTTTTGAAATGTCCTGGCGTTGCTCAGTACAAGCTGAGTTTCTACGGCAAATGGAGCAACATGACTCACCCGAATGCTGTTCCTTCGAAGGGCTCTCCTATGTTTTCACCTTTGGTCGGAGCTTCCCACAGTGCAGATTACTCCATGTGGAAGGCAGGAATGATGGCTTCAAAAGGCGTGCAACAAGTTGCTGAGACAGGTAGAGTGTTTGCATGTGAAATTAGTTCTTAATTCTGTCCTTTTTTTTGCCATCATATATGGATCGGTCACATGCAAACGTTGTCCAGTTATGCAATAGCCACTGCTGTACAAATTTTATCAAAATACACAGATTCTAAAGATCTGAGTGGAGTTGAGGCTCTCTTACTCTTTTAAAATGTCAGGAGTTTCAAGGGAAGCATAAAAGGCTGACTTCGCAACTCATTTTAAGAAACATGTTATACACTATTATGAGCAAATTTTTCGTATTTTGGAGCCTTACTCTTTCTATCTCAAGGTTGTTTAGTCTACTTTACTCGTTAAAGAGGAAGAGAAAAATGGCTAGTTACTTGCATTCCCTTGTTTCATCGATTAAACTTTCACGAGGTGGATCGACGGAATCTTTATCTATGATCCATGCGCTGTCGTCACGATCTGAAATATCATACTAAGGTTTTGAGTAACGTTATTCATTACACTTGCGCGAGATTGGTTGAACTTAAAAACAGTTATCCTCATCCAAGCAAGCTGTTACGTTTGTACGGATTATAGGTCAAGACCCTGCTATTAAAGAAAAAAAGTTAAGTGTGTCATTTTCGTTCCCTGCCCCACCAGGTAATTCATCAGTCCTGCAAAATGAAATCATGATGCGTATGATGTACAACAAGACAGTGTGGAAGCTAGTCCAACAAAAGGGTGGAGCCATAAATGGCACAGATCATGTGATGGACATTGATGTCGAAGTCACGGCCGACTATCCTTACGTGTCACTGATTTCCATGATCTTCCCCTCTCCTGATTGGTTCATAGGGGGCGACTCTATAAACCTTTGTAACGATGGAAAGTGGCGGGACACTTGGAACGTAGCAATGCTGCCGCCATGGGATGCTGGGACTGATAGCAATACTACGTTCATAGCCGAGGATGTGGAAACAAATCCCCAGGGAAATATCGCAGTAATCACCAAAATGATGGACACTCCTTTTATGAACATCGAGGGAGATATACCAACCATGGGCATGCTGATGTTTCAAAGAGTCAACAAGCCAATGCAGTATATGTGCAGCGGAGAGCAAAAGTACATGCTCAAGTTTGAAGGAATGTGGACCCAACAGAGGCAACCTATGGGATACCCGTCCAATCCTCATTTTTCACCTCTCATTGGTTGTACCCACATGTACAATTACAAGTTCTGGAGTCCTATGACTATGGCTTCCAAAGGAGTGCAGATGGTCGCAGAAACAGGTAGATGTATATTTGCAGCCTCGTTCCCGGGGCCTTTTCCCTTAGTTATGGGTGGGGCGGGAAAAGGCCTTGGGAACGAGGTTGCCTGCCCCATCCCCAATTAAGGGAAAAGGCCCTGGGAACGAGTTTGATATATTTGAATAATTATTTACTTGTTTCTTTGTTTGCAACATGATTAATTTCATGATCAACACCTCTGTGGTAACAAAGATTACGGAAGAATGACTTAGAGATTATTTGGGGTTTATTTGGCTCAAGCCTTAGCTTTGTTTAATCTTGTGTATGTTGTGGTCTTAGTCTCATTGAAAAATAGGAAAGGTTCAGAAAAAGGTAGTCTCCCTCGCAGCCGTTTTTTCGGATGTCACGCAACGCTCCCCCAAAAAGAACTGTTTCTTTTGCGGGGAGCGTTGCGTGACATTCGAAAAAACGGCTGCGAGGGACACTAAGAAAAAAGGGGAAAGATTCTGAGAATTAAGGACAAATATCTCGTCTTGGGTGAGTAGCTGTCAGCCTTAGGGTCGGTTTTTTCCTGGGGGAAGAAACTTGAAGCGAGGGACAGGAAAGAGTTTCGCTCTTTTTTCTCCTCGTTTTCATCCCTCCCCTCCCCCCTCCTTGTTTTTTCCCTCACCTCCCCCTATTCCCCCTTTGCGATACTCAAGCTAAAGATGGATCATGCATAGAATTTACCTTTCTTTTTAATATTAAATCTAAATGTTTGGTTATGCTAGGCAACCACTCGACGTTGTACAACGAGTTGAAAAACTTCATGAATTCCTATCCGGGAAACATTCACATGATTTACAAAGCCGATGGAATGTCTGGCGCTGATGAGACTACAACTATGATGATAACAGCAAGTGGAAAGTATTCCCAGGCCTCTTTGATCGCCATGATCGCTCCCTCTCCTGATTGGTTCGTTGGAGTACAAGGTTTGGAGCTCTGTGGAAGCGATGGCAAATGGATGGACAGTGTGTCCAGGAACTTGCCAGCGTGGGATGCCGGGACGGATAATGGAATGAATTTTACCTCAGAAAACGCTCCCACAATGCCTCAAGACGTTGTCACAATCATTACAAAGGACAGCGACACCGTATTGAAGGGAATGGATCCCATCCCCGAATTCGCTAAAATTACCTTCACCAAATATACACCCGATACGCCAGGGTCTGGTGCTCAGAGTATTTCTGCTGCATTTGGTACCCAGGTGACTGTCGCATTTCTCCCCATCATTCGCTTCCTCTATTAGCTCTGTTGTGATTGGAAGGGGCTGAGAAATTGTTTCACGAGAAACACATTTCCATTCATCTCTTCTTTATTCAAACAAATGGGGGAATCTGCTGTAGCCTGAAAGCCTTAAATCTCCAGCCTGCCCAGATACAGGTTTGAAAGGAGTCCGCTTTTCTGACACCAAGCTGCTACTCCAGAAAATATTCGTTTTATTTACGAAAGATTAAACTCCGTAAGTTTATTTTTAACTTCCATCAGTGAGGTGTTAGCTACGGAAGTTGATGAAACTTACAATTGTTATAAAACTACTGAGACTAACTTGTTCTCAAAGACTTTTAAAGATTCTTACCAGCGCAAAGAAGCAAACTTGCAACAAGACCGCTGGAATTCCTGAAATTCAGCGCACCACCTTACATTTTTTTCTTCCTATTCGACTGTTTTGGTTCTGATGTTTTTCTAATCAGACAGTTGTTCTTCTTTTACTTTTGTTTTGCAAGGTTACCAGTGGGTCGAAGATAGGCTAATAGGACAGTTTTAATTTGAGTGTCAAAAAATCTAGGCTCGATTTCCGCCGCTATCTCGAGTCCAGTCTTTTTCGAGCGCGGACTCCGGTTCCCGAACAGCGGCTGGTAATCGAACCTGCGAAAAATCAGAACCGAGGTAATCACAACTACCAATCAGAACAAAAGATGACGCCATCATTAGCCAATGAGATCGAAAACTCAAAGTAAAACTAGGCAACCTGCTTGAAGCGCGTGAAAACGCCAATGACGTATCAAGCTAGTCGCGAGCAAATGTTCGTAATTTTGCATTTGATTGGTTGAAGAGATAGTATGAGTTTTCTGGACCAATCACAGAGCGAAGTAAAGCAAAACCTAGGCAATCCAGGACCACTTTCGATGCTCAATTGAAAACTGCTCTACGCCCAATTTTCGTGCCGCATTTTTTTTATCTCGCAGAAGGACAAACGAAATCTCTCCATATTATACAACTCAAGTGAAGTTTATGTTTTGGATTTACGAGATCGATATTTGTTTACGTTTTCCGTATACATCAGTGCAGTAGTAAGCTTGGTAGAAAAGCCATATCTCACAGTTGCACTCGAAAGTGTTCTTCGTTTATAACAAGTATTGTTTTTAGAGTTATTTAAATATTTAAAAGATGAGGTTTATGAGACCTCTGTAAGGTATAAATTAAAACAAGGATCTCCTCGAGAATTGAAAAAGTTTCGAGAGTATTGTGTTTGAAAGTTTAAGAATAAAGTTTGTATTTGCTTCAATGTACGTTCGCCTTCCTCCTTTTTTCTTAAGATCTAAGAAAGATTCCTACGTTGGATAATTTACTTTCACAGAATATCAACAAACTTGCTTTAGTTCATTCAGTTTGTAGCTACGTGTATCTTACATAGTATGAAAGTTTTTTAGTAATGGATTCCTTAGGCTTTTTGCTATATTTGTGAGAAGATCGGCGCTTTCGGCGATAAACTTATAACCAAAATGTACCATAAAATCGGAGCATTGGTCATCAATGATAAACGTTTCCAACAGTGAGAGCTCCCTCCTCCAAGAGTTAATGGTGACAGTTGTATTTCTGTTACTTGTAGAGTAGCTAACCTCAATGTTACTATGTCCATTTCCATCGAAATTTCGGATATTTCGCAGCCATTCTTTCACCTCTGCAGCATAATCAATACCCGTGAACTTAAATATTTTGCGTGAAAACTCTGGGATGTTCTCTGCAAAGTCCTCGTAACGAATTACTCTGTACCGATCTGGGCTAAGTTTAGACGAAAGATACAACGACAAGTTCATATCCTTTTTCAGTCGATCACAGAAACGTTGAACTTGCTCAATGAAACTGATATCAGGGATTAAGTTTACACTTGGTAAGCGAAAAGTCGAGTTTCGTTCTTTTTTGTTAACTTCTGTCGTTTTGTTGTAGTTACTAGTTCTTCGTGATATTAAACCCATTTTTATCATGGACCAAACAACCGCCCGTGGATCTCGCACTAACTGAATAATTTTAAGTGGAATTCTACGTAATTTGAAAGAATCATCTTCGACCAAATATATTAACGTTTCCTCAGGTAAGCGGTGAGTCAAAATCTTTGCAGCAACGATCTTCTTCGACGCGCAACTAAGCGACACTAACTTTGCGTTTAACGGAAAACATTTGCCTAAAGGTTTGGACAGATTTTCAAACGATTGATCAGCATCATGGCACAATGATAACGACGCCAGTGATCTGCTCGATAAAATAAAATGAGTATTTGACAGTCCTGGATGAGAAAGGAAATTGAAATATTCTTGAAAGCCAGTTAAGTTGCAGATAGAAGCATTTCGAAGGAAAGATCGCGCGAGAGTTGCGTAATTTCGTTCCGCAATATATTTCAATTCTTTAAACACCGCAAAAGGGCGAAGAGGTTCGTACAGATAAAATACATCAGGATGTTGGTTGAATAACTGTCCCAGAAATGAAGATCCTGTTCTTGGCTGAGCAAAAATTAATACAAAGTCAGAAAGGCTCTTTCCATCAGAACGGGTTCGTCTCTCCATTAGGCGTGGTAAAAGTCGAGTAAACGTTAAATCCGACACGATGATGTAGGTAAAAACAGTTCCCAGTAGAACAACAGATGCGAACCAGGTAAAATACATTTCAAATTGTCTTTCAACTGTTTTCTGAAAGAATATAATAAAGGTGGAAATCATTCAGCTAAAAACTTCTACTTGTGAAGTAAGTTTGCATTGTTGCAAAAGAGATGTATGGAGCAATTTGGACTGAGACAAGTATGAATTCCGGTGGGAGTAAACTATTTACTTGTGATAGGTTAATGGGAATGTGCCGCTGGATGGGGTCGCATTTTCACGACTGGATTGACTAAAATTAGGGGGAGGAAAATTCTGGTAACTGTAGGGATTAAAAATTGGAAGATTCGTAGTGAGAGGCCAGCGGCACAAACCCAAAAAAATTGACCCGAGTACCAACCCCCGCCCATCAACTTTCTGATTTATCAACGTTAAAAATTTGAAGATGCAGAAACAACAAGTTTTCAACTAGCAAACTGAAAAATAAAGTAAAATTTCGCTCCAGACTTCAAACATTTTACTTAATTTGTGTCACCAACAGATTACAGTTTATAATCTCTTGGTGTCACTTGATATTTTTTAGTCCCTTATTCGAAGGCACGATGTGAGAAAACGTTACTTCAACCGTAAAGAAGCGCAAGTGTCTGCGGCAAATCAACAGAGCCATTAGTTACACAAGTAGCGTACAATGACTCACGTTATTCATTTCCATACAAAAAAAATTCCAAGAGTTCAGAAGCAACAGTGATTAACATTTTCGGAACTCTTAATCGTAAGATTGAACTGTCGATGTAGAGGCGGTAGAATGGAATTATATGATGCCACTAACCGTACTATAAAAAATGGAAGACCGCCAGAGATTCTGAAAAGCCTCTACTTTTCTCAATTCTCCTGGGTTACTTCTACATCACCGATCCGTGTTTTTGTTTATGTTTGTGTCGTATTTTTTTGTCTGAAACAGGGGAAGCGTACAAATAAGATACACACAAGCAAGCGGCGAAAGAAAAACTTCCAGAGTAAATTATTAATTTAAAGCATTTAATAACATGTAGTAAATATGTCACCTGTACAAGAAAAAAAAAAGGTTTTCGACGGTAAGGCTCAAGTTGTAGTGAACGCAATTACCTAAATGGAGACCCTAACGGCGTAGATCGAGTTAAGATAAGTTTGATGAGGAGACATTTGATCTAAGTTCACTCCTTGAATGATAAACGTAACAACACTGAAATGGTCGCTCCCAAATAACTGTGACAAAAACCCGCAAACTTCTTGACAGTTCTACCTGCCGAGAAGTGGCGAGACCTGCGGTGAGAACGTATCCTCTGCAGTTCCTAGGAAAACTGGGGAATGAAAGAAGACGAAAGCATATTGTCTCCAAGAAATAACTGAAATAAAAGCCTATTTGCAAATTCAGTTCGGATCTCTCTGTTTGAGCGGCGGAGAACAGAAAATATTTGCGTTGTCGATAAAAGAAAAAGATTGCAAATGAAAATATAACGATTATTCAGCTAAAAACAAAACTGTTAAAAGTAAAATAAGTTTGACATGGTTTGATGCAACTCTGGTTTAAAGATTTAATGAATGTAACCGAAATTACAGTTCATCGACCCAACGTTTTGACACTCCTGTCTAGTGCCTCCATCAGGGGTGATCTGGCCGTTGTAACAAGAGGACCATTCAGTGGCGGATCCAGGGGGAGGGTCCGGGGGGTCCGGACCCCCCCCCCCATCAGACCTGACGCTTACAACTTTGAGACTGAAATTCTTACATCGACAGGATCGTAGATCAATTTTTAACTGGCTGATTTTTTTAATGAATCCAAGTAAACGGTAGGCGGCCAAGGAATTATAACGTGCAATCGTGACTAGTGAAAGGGGGTGTGGTGGATGTGGGAGAGAAGTAATCTTCCTCAAAAGAGTCCAACAGTCCTTTCTGAACCAAAGTTTGGACCCTCCCAATCAAAAATTCCTGTATCCGCCCATGCCTTTTATATACTCAGACCTCTTGCTGCAACGACCAGATCACCTCTGATGAATGCACTAGACTGGATTGTCGAGACGTTGGGTCAATGAATTGTAATTTCGGTTACATTCATTAAATCTTTAATTTAAACCTGAGTAGCATTAGACCGTCCATGTCTGATTGTCCACCTGGTTGCTGTGTAAACTTGAATATATTCTCAAATAAGTTTCTTTTGCTCATAAGTTGTAACTGTTATAACTGAATTGTCGAAGGTATTGTGCATGATAGACCCTTTCCCCCCCAAGATCTCATTAATAATTCTCCTTACTTTCTGCTAAACGATTCTCGTAATATAGGTTTGGAGAATTTGGTATTGGATCAACTAATAATCCCATAATTGCTATGTTCCTTTATTCTCATCACTTGTCTGTATGATATTGTATTGATATTGTAAGGAGAAATTCTGTCTTGGTCACTCACGGGGGTTAAGGGTTAATCGGGACAATTTGGTTGTCATTACTGACCTGTTTATGGTTTTTCATGGCTTCATTTATTTAGTCAGATCAAAAACCTATTTAAAAAACGATTTCAAATTGTAATTTTTTTTAAACAAAATGATATCGATTAACCTCTCTACCAAACGTCTGCGCTGTTCCTTGCTTAATATCAATTTTAAAATAAGACTCTATGTTTCCGAGCGTCTGGTCAGTAATATATCGTAGAGGACGTCATGGGGTAAGAACAAAAAAGTGTTATTAACATAACCAAAGTAAAGTGCGCGCTCTGATTGGTCAATTCAGCGTCCACCATTTGTCCACGGGTGTACGCTGCTGACGTGAGCAAATGCAAAGACTAGTGTTCCGCGCGCGCTTGTTTTTTCTGGTCAAGTAAGATTTGTTAAATAACAGAAAACTCTTTTGCTACAATGTAACAATGT